TGTTCAGAATCAAAATCTACTTTTTTGGAATCTGGTACTGCAGATTGACTACAAAACCTTTCCAGTGAACAACTGAAATAAGCAAAGGAAACAGCATAGTTGTTTAGTCGCTAAGTTGACTGTTTGTGACCCCAAGCACGCCAGTGTCCTCTGTCCTCCACTATGACCCTGAGTTTGCTCAAATTCACGTCCATTGACTCAGTGGTGCTGTCTAACCATCTCATCTCATCTCACCTAAACAGTATGGGGCCGGTGCTAAAATCAGAGCAGTGCCTTCCACCTGTGAGCTCAGTCACTCAGTCGTGTCCGACTCTTGACCCCACGGACTGCAGCCCGCCAGGCTTCTTTGTCCCTGGGGATTCTCCAGGCAAGAATACTGGAGAAGCTTGCCATGCCCTCCTCCAGGGGATCTTCCCAACTCAGAGGCCGAACCCAGGTCTCCCACATTGCAGGTAGATTCTTCATTGTCTGAGCCACCAAGGAAGCTCATGAATACTGAAACTTAAGTCATGTTCTGAAAAGAGAAACAGGATTGGAAGGTCTCAGCAGCTAACTCCTGACTTACCTTCCTAAGAAAAGCGATGCAGTTACAGTTAATAAAGGAATATCTGAAAATATCATTAATGTCTCCTATTTAGAAGTAGACAATTTTAAATAGTGATAAGCACTTTAAAGACAATACAAAACTGTGTTAAGATAGAGAGTGACTCTTGGGATGAGAAAGGGCATCTGCTTTAAGTAAGGTATGGAGGGAGGGCTCCACTCTGACACTTGCTCTGCAATACCAGGCAAGGTATTGAAACTGTCTAATGTTCAATTGTATTTCTCTAAGTAGCCAGTATCTTTCTGCTGGGCACTGGACTTAGCAATGGCTTTCATTATTCCATTCACTTCTTATAAGAACCCTGCATGGTAAATTCTATCAATAACCACAGTGCAGAGATGAGGAAATTAAGCATAAAAATTACTGTCACAATCCCAACGCCACACAACTAATGAATGCTAGATCTAGAAACACAATCCAGGTCTTTGGTCTGAAGCACTTTGCTCCACTGTCTTCCTAAAGTAGGGTGGACACAATTTTGAGGGGTTCCAGTAAGAATTGTGAACACACATGGGAATCACTGTGTGCAACACCTTCTCAGTCGCAGGCTCTCAACCAACTGTGGAAATGTACAAGACCTTGGAGGATAGGAAGCCACGGCATGAAATTCCAGATAAGTCTATCTACGAGATGAAGCTCAATATTTTCTGAGGTTTGTTTAACAGTTTACACAGCAGATTTCATGTGTTATCATAAGTATCAGTGGTCTATCATGTTTCTTACTGTTACTGGGAAATCAGTTCCCATTAACTGATGTTAACTACCTTAAATATAAGGTATAATATTGAGAGAATGGGTATCATAATATAATATAGAAAGAGTATACCAACCTGTGTTTGCTACTACTGTGTATTAGCATTTTCATAATTGACTCTTGCTGCCACTTCTCAAGATATTTCTATACTACAAGAAAGGACAAGCAGTAAATGTAATTTGACTTAATAGAGGAAAATCTATCTTGTGCAACAATTCCAAACTTTCTATCCAAGGTAGCCTATAACTCTGCAGCCATAATCATCTCATGTGGTGTATTTGTCATTTGGAATCAATCATTTTCACATATGGCAGGCAAAAGAAAAAACAAACAAACAAACAGCCAGTTTTCCTGAATCCTCTCCCTCTTGATTTCTGCACTGGGAAGTTTACTGACTGGTTCAGCCTTACAATTTAATCCAAGATCACTGGAGGGGAGCAGGGAAGCCAGAGAAAGCCTCACAAAATGTTTGAGCAGGACACCAGGTGGCAGTATGTCAGCTTTCATTCTCGCTGCATCCGGTGTGCTAGAGTCCGATTCTCAGGAAGGAGAAACAGATTTAGACAAATGATTCACAAAGGGGTGACATTTGAGTTGAAACATGAAGGAATTCAGAAGTGCATCATGTTCATATTTGGGGGGATAGCATCACTGGCTCAGTGGTAAAGAATCCACCTTCCGGTGGATTCAACCTCTGGGTCTGGAAGATCCCATAGAGAAGGAAATGGCAAGCCACTCCGGTATTCTTGCCTGGGAAATCCCATGGGCAGAGGTTAAGTCACACATGACTTAGTGACTAAACAACAGCAAAGCATCACAGGAGAGAGGGAAAAACAAGGGGCACGGGACTTGATAGGGAAACAAGCTTGGGGTGTTTAAGGAATGAAATCTCATTGTAGCCCTTATTTTTCCCAGCACACTATTACATAAGAAACTAACTAAAGCATCCGGCAGTGTTAACTAGTTAGTGGATGCTTTGCTCATTTACTGATCCTGGGACAGTTGAATCTATGTTCGGGCATTTGCTTTCTTAGTTTCCTTTAGCGTCCAGTTTAAACCAGTAGTGTCACCACCACTGAGACATTCAGCCACCCTGTTCTGGGGCCAAGTGCTTTTCCACAGTCCAGACCTTGCTCTTAAGCAGCCCTCTAAAATGCAGCACACAGGCTGATTATAAAAGGTAAAGAAGCTTTTCACAGTTAGGAAAGGTACGACTCATTTCCCAAAGTTGTTTTGTTTTGCACCCCACTGTTCATCACAGCACTGTTTATAATAGCCAGGACATGGAAGCAACCTAGATGCCCATCAGCAGACGAATGGATAAGAAAGCTGGGGTACATATACACCATGGAATATTACTCAGCCATTAAAAAGAATACATTTGAATCAGTTCTAATGAGATGGATGAAACTGGAGCCCATTATACAGAG